GCACTGGGGGGATCTCCTTCCCCTTCCCTCTGGCACGGAGGCAAATCCCATCCTCTCCCTGTCCTTCCTCCCCCAGACAAGGAGCTGAGGATGGAGACCAGGGAGGACAAATCCCCACGGCAGAACCTCGTGGAAGAGGACGTTTTGAGTGGCTCCACGGTGCAGGACTTTAACAGGGAGGAAAATCCCCAGAGGTCCCGCAGGAGGAGGGGCTCCAAACCCATCCCAGGGTGCTCTGAGGAGGAAAGACCCACCCTGTGCCGGGAAGGCGGCCAGAGATCCAGCCAGGGCTCTGAGCTGGTGGTCCATGAGCAGCTTCAGGATGGGGAGAAGCCCTACAAGTGCTTGGAGTGTGGGAAGAGCTTAGGCCAGAGCTCATTCCTGATCCGCCACCAGATAATCCACACAGGGGAATGGCCCTATCAGTGTGGGGAATGTGGGAAAGGCTTCAGCTGCAACTCCCAACTCATCATCCACCAGCGCATCCACACTGGGGAGAGGCCCTACGAGTGTCCCGAGTGTGGGAAGAGGTTTCAGAGGAGCTCCACTCTCCTCGTGCACCAGCGGATTCACACGGATGAGAGGCCCTTCCGCTGCCCTGACTGTGGGGAGGGCTTCAAGCACAACTCCCACCTCATCAGGCACCAGCGCATCCACACTGGGGAGAGGCCCTACGAGTGTCCCCAGTGTGGGAAGAGCTTCAGCTGCAGCTCCAGCCTAACCATCCACCAGAGGACCCACACTGGGGAACGTCCCTATGAGTGTGGGGAATGTGGGAAGGGTTTCAGCCAGAGGTCCCAACTGACCATCCACCAGCGCATCCACACCGGGGAGAGGCCCTATGAGTGTCCTGAATGCAGGAAGAGGTTTCAGAGCAGCTCCCATCTCCTCCAGCACCAGTGGATTCACACGGATGAGAGGCCCTTCCGCTGCCCTGACTGCAGGAAGGGGTTCAAGTACAACTCCACCCTTGTCAGGCACCGGCGTATCCACGCTGGAGATGGCCCTACAAGTGTCCCCAGTGTGGGAAGAGCTTCACCCAGATCTCTCACTTGACCCAACAGCAACAGAGGCACCGGTAAGGGAAGCCTCTGCCTCGAAGGTTGGGCCCTGCGAGCCCAGGAAGAAACTCCATCCTGGGCCCCTTGTGAGGTGACAGCCCAGGGATTTCTGATTGGGTTTGGGCCCCTGGGGTTTTTCCCTTGCTGTGTTCCCAGTGGTCCCTGACCTTGAACTCCACCCTGGTTCTCAAACCCCATCTCCCTGCCTCTGTTTGGGGATGTCTCTGGATCTGAGTTTGTTCCTGAGCTGAATAAATGGTTTCCTGAGCAGAATCCCATCTCGTTGGTGTCCCCGACTGGTTCCTGGTAAATGTGGCCTCCGTGGACATGATGTTGTGGCCCCGGAACGCAAGACCCCACAAAATTGAGACCTGCCCCCAGAGCCCCCCAAAATTCCCTAAAATTCACCCAAGTCCCCCAAAATTCCTTTAATTTCCTTAAAATGCCCTTTTTGTCCCACTCCAGGACCAGGTGCCTCGGCTGGATCTCAGGGACAGCCCCAGGAATTTGGAGGGGGTCTCTCCTCCCCTGCCACTCCCAAGAACCTGCTGCTTTTGGGAAAAAAAAAAAATTAAAAAATTCTTTGGATTCAAGGAGGGGTTCCCCCATTTTTGTCACATTTTTTGGGGGTTCTCCCCCAAATTTTATCCTTTTTTGTTTTTTGGGTTTTGTTTCTTGGTTTTTTTTTTCTATTTTTTGGTGGCTTTGGCATTCTTCAAAGTGGGCTTTTTTTGGAGAGGGTTCCCACAATTTTTTTGAGGGGTCCCTCAATTTCTTTGGGGGGAATCACCCCCTCCCTCAATTTTTCCTCTGTCCCCCTTTCCCCAAAATGGGGTGGGGGTGGTCTTTTTTTTCTTTTTTTTTTTTATTTTTACCTTTTTTCCCTTTTTTTCCCCTCTTTTTATTTATGTGCATTTAATTTGGGGGGACTGGGGCAGGAATTTTGGAGAGGTGTCGCCAAGGGTGCTGGAAAAGTTGGGGGCACTCCCATCCCCAAAAAAATGGGAAAAATCCCAGGAAATCTGGGGTTTCCCCCCCTACCCAAAGTGTGAAAAATGTGAAATAAAAAATTTATGTTCTCAGCTTTTTGGTGATTTTTGAGGAAAGGAGTTGCAATTTTGGGGGGCTTCTTGGGAGGGGTCACTGGTTTTTTGCAGGGGATCTCCTGAGTTTTGGGGTGGAATTTGGGAAATTGGGGGGAATTTGGGGGTTTGGGGGGGAAATTTGGTGTTTTGGGGAGAACTTCTGGTTTTTTAGGGGGAGGATTTGGGGTTTTGGGGGGGAAATTTGGGGGTTTTGGGGAAAAATTTAGGGGGTGGGGAGAATTTTGGGGGGAAAATTTGGGATTTTTGGGAAAATTTGGAGTTTTGTGGGAAATTTTTTAGTCTTGGGAGGATCTGGGACTTTTGAGGGTGTATGGGGGGTTTTCGGTTTTGGGGGGGATTTGTGAGGAATTTTGGGATTTTGGGGGAGGAATTTGGTGGTTTTAGGGGGAAATTCAGGGCTCCTGGGAGAGGTTCTGATTTTGGTAAGGGGGATTTGGGGAGAATTTTTTTGGTTTGGGGGAATTTCCATTGATGGGGAGGGGTCCTGATCCCATTGAGGAGGGGCACTTTGGGGAGGCCTGAATTTGGGGAGGGGTCTCAAGTGGGATTCCCGATTTTGGGGCAGGGTTTGGGTTGGATTTGGGGAGATTTTCCAGCGATGGGGAGGCATCTCAGGAGTGCGATTTGAGGAGAGGTCTCATCAGGGCACCATCCTGAGCTGGAAGCGAGGGGGATGTTGGGAGTGGAATCTGGGGAGGATCTGGGGGGAGATTTTCCAGCCATGGGGAAGGGTCCCGGTCCCGGGGCAGTTCCTGAATTTGGGGAGCAGTCTGGAATTTGGGAGGGGTCTCATTGGGGCAGCAGGAGGGGATGGAAGCGGGGCACAATGTTGGCACAGCCGCTCTCCAGGGGGGCCGTGGGCAGCTCCTCGGGGGGTGCCGGGGGTCGCGGCCGCAGGCGCTGCAGCAGCGAGGTCAGGAACAGGAACAGCTCTGCCCGCACCAGCGCCTCCCCCAGGCACAGCCGCTGCCCTGTGGGGAGGGGGCGTCAGCACCGCCCCACCACAAAGGGTCCGGGGTCCCAAAAGGGTCTGTGATCCCAAAAGGGTCAGGGGGTCCCAAAAGGGCTGGGGATCTCTAAAGGGTCAGGGGGTCCCAAAAGGGTCGGGGGTCCCAAAAGGGGCTGGGAGCTTTGGGATTGGGGTCCCAAAAGGGTCTGTAGGTTTCAGGGGTGGGGGTCCCAAATGGGTCTGGGGTCCCCACCCCAAAGATTTATGGGATTTAGGGGATCCCAAAAGGATGTAGGGCCCTCCCCAAAGGATTCATGGGATTTTTGGGATTCCAAAAGAATTTAGGGCCCCACACCAATGGAATTTGGGGATTAATGGGATTCCAGAAGGATTTAGGACCCCACCCCAAGGATTTATGGGATTTTTGGGGTGCCCGCTGGCTGAGAAGGGCACAAAGTCCTCATTGCACTGGAACTGACCCTGCTCATCCAGGATGTTCCCAGGGTCAAATTTTGAGGATTTTTGAAGGATTTGGGGTTGTATAGGACCGAGCTCAGCAGGGGGTAAATGTCTGTGTCCTGTGGGGTCAGGTGTGTGGCCAGAAGTGTCATTTGGGGTCAGGTGTGGGGTCAGAGGAGTCCTTTAGAGTAATTTGGGGTTATTTGTGGTGATTTGGGTTCATTGGTGTCATTTGGGGTTACTAGGGTGTAAGAGACAGTCTGAAGTTTCCCTCATCTGCCTCACAACCATTGCAAGAACAGAGACCAAGACCCTGAAGACCCCAAGGGACTTTGTGCAGGGGTTCTGGCCTGGTTGAGGTGGAAGCTTGCCAGGTGATGGTTTGCAGGTGTGCTTGTTGTGCTGTCAAGGTACACTGCCTTCATTCCTGCTGCTGAGCAGGGACTTGTAAGGAGCGGCCTGTTCTGTACCTTACACCTGCTTCCCAGAGCAAGGGGTCTCATCACAATAGCCTGGGAATTTCCCCACCTCTTGGCCAGCTGCCCCTTGCTTTGAAACAGACTGTAAAAGTGACTTTTCCAAGTTACTTTCTTCGAGAGAGATCTCCCCATGGAAGAAGACACCGGTGACCCCGTCTCGTCTGTTGGTAACTATAACCACCTCTTTTCTCTCTTTACATTGGCTCTTTACCCCTCTCTCCCTCTCTCCTCTTCTCTCCCCCTCTCATCTATCACACAACCCATGTTGCTGGCACTAAAATAAAGATGCGTTATTGCTGTTGTGATTTAAACTGAAATCCCCTGGTGTCCTTTTTGCACTCTGAGATCAAACGAACCTCTCACGACTCCCACTTGTGTTAGGGGATCGTGACACTCGGCAGCGGGGTGACCCAAGGTGCGGCTTAGAGCAAATGCTCCACGGCACAAGGATATTGGTAGGCGCATGGTGGAGACAAGGATGAGGAGGAGACCTCCAGTATGGGTTCCAAAGGCTTTTACTCCACTGCAGGGTCCAGGGACTGAAGACTGAGAACACAACTGTGTGGGGGTTTTTATATGGGGGAGGCCAGAGGGAGGGTACAAAATTTTAACCAATAGGAAGAAGCTGTGGGAGGAGTGGAAGGTTCCATTCAACAATACAATAGGGGAAACAAGGGGAGCAGAGTGGGTCACATGGGCCAATGGGGCATTGGAGATCAGGGGATTTCCAGAGGGGTGGTTCAGGTAGGAGGCTGGCCTAAGGGAAGACTGACAAATGGGTGTAATGACAGATGGGGAACATGAGAAAACAAGGGGTGGGCTTGAGGCAGGATTTGATAGGTGGGTAGGAGGATACAAACTAGGAGCAAACCAATGACTTAGGGGAATAATGGGAGAAACCATTCAAACAAAACACACCACAACAATAAGAACTGTTAACCATTACAGGAGGTGGCATCTTCAGGAGGCAATGGATGTGAGTGAGCCCTTGCCACATTGACACTGATTGTTCTGTGTGGAAAGGGACACTGAGAACTTGCCTCCAGCATTCTCCATGGATCTCAAACTGCCATGTGCCAGGGCTTCCAGATAATCCATGTTCTGATCTCAATCTAGAAGGGAGAACAAATCAGAACCCTTTCCATGGTGCCCCCAGCAGAGCTGCATCCGCCTTTGTCCGGCAGGAAAAGGGATGCGGGCAGAGCGGGCAGGTGCCACCCTGCTCTATTTGTGTGCCAGACCTGAGCCTCAAATGTTTCTGGTTTCTTAGCTAATTTCTCCCTGGCTCCTCTTTAACATGAGCAAAAGAATAGCATCACACAGTCCAGTTTGGCAAATAAGTGAACAGCTGAGTGCTTCCACTAAATTAAAAACCCAATGTGCTTGAAAGCCGACCTTCTGTTCACTCAGGCCTCCTCACCTTTGTAGATTGGGTGAGTTTATAATACTGGTATGTGGGTTTTAGGAGTATGTGGGTTTTTATCTGTGATAGAGATGAGGAAGTGTTGAACTCGTTCCAATGAGCTGCCAAAAGCAGTGACTTTAGTCCCTCTTTGGCTGGGGAGCAGCACCGGCCTTGTTGAACGCCGGCAGCAGCACGAGCAGGACTCCTCCAGCAGCAGGGACACGCCACAAGCCAGGAGAGGACCATGAGAGGGGAGTGGCACCAGAGGGGACCGTGGCACCAGAGGGGACGGTGGCACCAGAGGGGACCGTGGCACCAGCCATGCCCAAGGTCTGAACAGGGTGGCAAAGTCAGGTGGTGCTACCCGGCTGCATGAACAGCCCAGGCAAGGCGTGGTGAGGAGCCAGGTCTGGGGGGCATCCAAGGAGTCCTGTCAAGAGCAAATGGTTCTAATATTCTCTCTGGGACAAAAAAGGAGCAATCTTTAGGGTGAACTCGTGCTAATAAATATTTGCTCACATATGGTGGGGTTTCTCTGCAAATGGGCTTTGATGGGAAATTTCTGACCACATTTAGTTTTACTCTTTAAGTCGAGCACCTGAGTAGCTTTGTTAAGGAATGGAGAATTGTTTGTAGCTCAGTATTTTCTCAGGAGGAGCCTTACATTTTAGCACAGGAGGAAGGTAAGGCAAAGTTTAAAAGCTTTCCCCTCCTGAAGTGACACACTTTCTGAGGAGTCTGTGAGGAGAATTCCCCTCAGCCACTGCCAGGGCTGTTTGCCTCCTCTGCAGGCTCAGGATTCTGGGAGTTCCACGAGCCTCAGCTCCCACAGTATTTTCCTCTGAATATTTCTTGTTTTGCAGTACACAGGGAGAATATTTTGTGCTAGATTCTCTTCTGGGTTTTGAGGTGAATCTCAGTAATTGTGTTGATTTTCCTGTCCAGACGAACTTTTGGTAGATAGGAAGGAAAAGGGAAGAAGTACCATGGAAAATCAATTGCTCAAAATCTGAGAGGCTCAACCACAGTAAAAATGAAGTCTAAATTGAGGAATTTTTTTATTTTTTTTTTTCCCTTGCTAGGTGGGGTAAAACATGAAGTGTTAATAAAGTTCTTTGAAAAGATTCAGCAAGCACCTAGCTATATGAAAATCAAAAGAGTGAAGGATGAGAC